AGATGAGGTCACTGTGTCCGGTACAGGTGGCAACCGAGTTCTGGCGATGGCAGTCCCACAGCTTGATGGTGCCATCCCAACTGGCCGACAATAGTTGATGGTAGTTCCACTGTTCGCCCCAGTTGATGCTGTACACCTCGTTCTTATGCTCCTGCAGAACCATCAAGGGCTGAGTTAGCGTCGTAAGCGTTGCTTCCGCATCGATGTCTTGGTTCAGTCCGCCCCAGATCTGCAAAGAGCCATCACCAGAAGCCGTTGCCGCAATATTATCTGCATACGGACACCAGGCCTGAAAATGAGGGAACGATGTAATCAGATGATGGCGAGAAAGTGCCTGATTATAATAAGGCCTTACCACATCGAAAAGTCCATCAGACCACTCCATGCGGCTAAGTTGAGTTAAGCCTTTGCCATCGGTTGTAGAAGGCAGCTTCAGCAGAAATAGTGTGCCACCACCAGCCAAACCATAAAGCTGACTTGTGGCCAACAATAAATGGTTTGGCTGAAATGGTGAAAAGCACACGCTGTAGCCATGGCGATCAGGAGTGGAACACGACTGCATTCTCCACGCGATGATTTGTGGTCGCTGTGGCTGAAATCTACAAAGAAAATGTGGATGAGTGGAATGTATGCAANAAGATGGTGGGTATCTACGCTTTCAGCCTAAAAGCATGTTTCAAAAATTTTTTGTGAATCAGTGCAGGAAAAAAGGAAATGAGTCTCCGAATTGAATTATGCATTCGCATTTTCGTGCAGTACTTCCACTAAATCATTTCCGTTATTGCAGTATCAGGTATGCGCAAATCTATATGAATGTGAGCATTTCTTTATATATGTATGTATAACAGTTAGGCAAAAGAATGCAAGAAAGCCGCAGCCTGGTAATGTGTAAATGCGGAAAAACTCTAAACCGTCCAGTTGGGAGATTTCACGGACGAGAAGTTTGGAATCCATCTACAATTGATGAAGATCTTTTCAAGATGGTTAATGGGGAACGAGACGCTCGCTGGCTTTGGGAGAGAGAATTCTACTGCTAAACAGGCAATTTTAAATCTTGAGGCTTTAATCTGTAAATGTTGCGACACTTAACCAGGAAAGCTGCCTGTGCGAGCGAAGCGCAGAATCCTAAGAGCAAGCTATGGCAAGCAAGGATATGATCAGAAAAGCATACAAATGATCCGGACTTTGAAGAACACCAGAGCTAATACCTACATATAAAAACGTGCGCAATAAACTTAAAAATTAAATTTATATCAAAAAGCTTTGCACTGATGCAGACACAAATTCCTGGGGAACCCCGCATGTAAGGTCGCATTGTCTCCTCCTGGATACCTTGGAGAAAGATTTTGGGGAGCAATATCCTCGAACGTTTCAAAGCCACGTCCCTTTTGAGATGACAATCAAGGTGGGAGTTTAGCTCTCAGAGAAAATCAACGCTCACTCTTATCTATAATATAGGAAAACAGGTGAAACCTACGCATGGTGAAGTGAACTTTCATTTTTGGCGCAACTACTTGTCGGCATTTCAACGCCACAAGAATGAAACTTTCTGACCAAAATGGCACTCCACGCATTGATACCATGTTCCTTTCTGAGCGCAATTGGTCCATCTTTGCCAACGCGATCGCTTGTGTAGGGTAGCAACTGAGAGAAGATGGCTCCAAGCACAGCAAATGCGGCCCCAGTTAGTAAAGAAGAAGCTAAACAAAGATGCAGTGGAAGATGGTAAGATGGCAATCAAAAATCGGCGGCAGTGAAAAAAGAGTCGGAGTAGAGGGGATTCTCTTAAATTTACAGCATACAAACAGATGATGGTCCCAAGTTGAGGCAACTTACTGGACTTCATTAGGACTATAACCACCTGAGGACGATATATTTGACGGTAGTTTCGGCTGGGAACGGTCAAGACGGCAGTAAGTTTAGTGGGTTAAAGTCACCCACTGACGGTTTTTAAAGTTAGCATTTTGATACTACCTCCTCGTAAAAAAAGTAATTAGGCGAACTATGTGTATGGTATGATAATGGGGGCTTTAGACACGTTTTTTTGCGCGAGTTGTGGAGGTCAAAATATTATGTGAACTAACCAGAAAACAAGAGGATGGCCCACTCTGTTCATTTATATGTATGCAGCTCCATAGCTATAGATGTTATTTCGTAAATACTACGTGTGAAACTTTGTCAAGTGAGGAAAACATAATTTTATTGCTTAGCTTATTTTATTGATTTTTCTTGGTTTCTATTGGCACCTACCTATTTTACTATGGCTTCAACACAGGTTTTAAGAAAGCAATGGGAAGTGGATAAAACATTGGAATGCATGTATGTACATGCATATATGTATATGTATGTATGTATATACCCTTGTGGTCAGCTGATTAAGTTAAGTGACATTTTGCCCAGTTTTGGCTATCACTCACCACGTAAATCCACTTTTCAAGCTTCGCACAAAAATTAAAAAAAATTTAACAAACTTTAACAATTACATCCAAAAATTTTAATTAAAAATTTTACTTTGGAAGAATTCTAAATATGCAGTTTTATAGCCCATTAATGTGCACATTTTAAGACGCTAGAAAATCGCATATATTTTCAATATTTTTTTTTGCTGACAGTGTTGTGCATTTTCTTTCGTAAAAACAATGCTCGACAATTACTTTTATATAGAAGAAATATCTAAAAATTCTGAATAAGAAGTTTAAAATTTTTCAGTGTCATTTTAAAGTTTGCTGAATTTTTGTGCGAAGTGTGAAATGTGGATTTACTTGGTGGGAAAGAAGCCAAAATTGGTCAAAATGTCACTTAACTTAATCAGCTGAACACAGGGATAAATATACATACAATACATAGATATATTAGACTGGGTCGCAAGTTAAATTTTGAAAATGGAAATGGGAAAGCGGAACGGAAACACTTTTCGACTTTTTATTGAAATTGCATAACTTCAAATAAAATGCATTTAACATCCCAGCCGATTAAAAGTTGTGAACCGAATTGAGGAGAAATGTAACCGCAATGCATTTGGCTGTGTGTGCGTTGCAGTAAAACCATGGCAACCTTCCTCCCCTTATTATTATTCAGTGTACCTGCAGATGTTCGCACATAACACTTCGGATTAGATAAGAAAAGTGCATTCAGCTGCGTTACGACTAACCTTGCTCGGGGTCGCAGCGTAAAATGTTAATGTCACTAAAAAGCGACCAGCATTTACCTGCATGCAGGCTTGCCACAACTTACACAGGCCAACAGCGCGCGAAGACACTTGCCAATAACCGCGTTGGCTTCAATCTGCCAGCCGCACGCGCAGCCACCCCTATTTCGATTCGGTTCGATTCGATGCCGCAGTTGAAGGCGGATGACGGGGCTTCTTGTGGCCGGCCACTGGAATGTTAGTTAGCACAATTACGAGGCAGCGCGCAAATCGGTATACGTAACGAGAAAATCCACTTAGTTCGAAAAAAAAATAACAAACAACCTCCACCTCCCCCAGTGGTTGGGGTGAAAAGCAAAGGTATATAAGCAGGTACATGCGGTCACTATGCTCGCATTTCCCTTCAGATACGCGCGAACATTAGAACCCCAAACCACAACAAGTCATTCAGAGTGCTCGAAGTGTGAAGTGAGTTGATTGAATAGTTGCAAAGGACGTAAGGACTTTCGTGCGGAAACTAAATAATACTAAACGTTTCAAAAATAATCCAAGAAGGATGGTCGTATCGGTGAAAGTTTTCAAGAAGGCCACCCCCAATGGCAAAGTAACCTTCTATCTGGGTCGCCGTGATTTTATTGATCACTTGGACTACTGCGATCCTGTCGACGGTGTGGTGGTTGTAGACCCAGATTATTTGAAGAATCGTCGTGTTTACGGACAGCTAGTCACCACCTACCGCTATGGCCGTGAAGAGGACGAAGTCATGGGTGTCAAATTCTCAAAGGAGCTGATCCT